TGTTGCAAACTAGATGTCACACCATTCCCCACCACTCTTTGGGCTCTGCCGTCCAGCCAGTTTCAAACCCAGCAGAGAATCCTCCTATCCAGGCCATGAGCAGCCAGTTTCTCCAGGAGAATACGGTGGGAGACAGTGTCAAATGCTTTACTGAAGTCCAAACAGTCCACAGCCTTTCCTCCTCAACCAGGCGGGCCACCTTGTTGTAGAAGAAGATCAGGTTGGTCAAGCAGGACCTGCCCTTCATGAGCCCATTCTGACTGGGCCTGATCCCCCCATTTCCCCGCATGTGCTTTATGATCCCACTTAGGATCATTTGGCCCATGACTTTCCTTGGCACGGAGCTCAGGCTGTCAGACTTGTAGTTTCCAGGGTCCTCCTTTCTGCCTTTTTTGTAGAGAAGCATCATACTGGCCAACTTCCAGTCCCCTGGGACCTGCCCACTAGACCAGGACTGCTGACAGAAGTATAATTTCGTACACTGGAGTAACCCTGGCTAGCTTCCAGTTATCAGGAACCTCCCCAGATTCTCAAGAACTTTGGCAGATGGTCAAGAGGGGTCCTGCCACAACATTAACTAACTCCTTCAGTACTCTGGGATGAATCCCATCAGGCCCCGTCGACTTGGAAACATTCAGTTGAGAAAATGTCAGTGTCCAGTTACGCATAGTTTTCCAGAATCCGTAAATACAGACATATTTTGCATAAGCAATCTAATATTGGATATTACAAGTTACCTATTTTTTTTGTGACAAGCATTGCATCTAAATGTATGACACTCAATTCAGACAACTGTAACAAACTAAGAAGCTTTATTTCCTCAGCAGTGGTTCAGACAGCAGTTCACACCCTCTACTTCTTATGAGTTAAAAATAACTTACCTCACTCCAGTTGCCTACTATCCAGTAGGCATCACCAGGCAAACTGTTGGATGTTATCAGGTGGCTGTTTTCTTTGACATTGGTTAAAGCACCCTCAGATGTTGCACTTTGGTTCCTGAGAGCATGCTCTAGAGCTGACAACTGTGTGCTGGTGGTTAGTGTCTCAGGCAGCTTCGTTTCTCTTCTGTTGTCAGTCTGATCTCTTGGTATGTGACCAAACACTGTGGGCATTGCTGTAACTGATGCTTGTGGGTCTAGTACTTGCAGTCCAATAAAATTTGCTCTTGTTGGAAATGCCAACCCTTGTGCTGCTCTGCTAACAGGAAGGAGAGTAGGAGGGTCTTGATGAGGAGATGCCGGCAGGGGCTGTGAAGTCACACTCTCATTTTGAAGGACAGAAGAGCCAGTATGCAGGGTTGTGCTCCTGGTTCTGATTTCAGGATTGAGTTCTGTGCCATAAAGGAGATCAATCGCTTTCCCACTGCCTCCAAGTGACCCATCCATGTCTTCAGATTCTTCAGTTAAGTAATCATAACTGGAAGTTACTTTTGGATTACTGGTAAAAGAGGAGATGGGAGTGTCCTCACTTCTTTGCACCTCACTCTCTACAGTAGAAAATGGCTCACTTTCAGAAATATTTTCACCATGCTTTATAATTGCAGTACTTAAGCTATTATGAAAAGGCCATGAAGTAGTATTTTGGTATGAACTATTTTCAGTAGAAACAACTGGATAATTGTAAACATCACTTGGTCCAGCAAAATTATTTTGTAATGTTCTGTTGGCTGTTCCTTCTTCTTCTTCTGAGACACTACCCAAACCAGAGGATGTAGGCAAACAGGATGTTACACTTTCAGGCTTGGGTACCTTTGTTGTTGTATGGGACCTTGGGCTTGGCATGGGTACTCTGCGAGAAGGACTCTGTTTGGGCTTAGTAGGTTTTTTTCTGATGATAATCTTTCCTCTTCTGGGTGCCAGTGGGGGTATGAGAAATCTTCCAGCAGAAGGACATTGCTGGAGACCACATAGGGCCTTAGAGTTCGGTCTCTTGGAAGTATCACAAGGCTCTTTGTTATTTTTGGCACAAGTGACATTACGAGTCCTTATTCCACCACCACAAGTAACTGTGCACTGCAAACAAAACAGAATTATTGCTATCTCCCCTTTTATTCTGCTGCACATAACAATAAAACTAAGTATCAAATGGCATCTGTTTATAATTAAGAATCATCATTATAAATAAGCAATAACAAAGCTTTTCCTGAGGAACAAGCCCTTTATCCTAGTGATGTTCTATCATGGAGCTCTTTCCAAACTTTTAGAACAGTAAATGTTGCCCTGGGGAAACAGCAGTGAAAAAAGACTACACAAAGTATGAAAGCAATATGCTAGAATTTTATTTCTTCAGTGAATCATAAAAGTTGTTTAGCCAGTACCTTTTCTACCAGCATTATAAAAAACAGACTAAAAACCTGCCATCAAAAACACACCTGACTGGCTCAGTGCTGGCTACAAAAAGTGCCACAAATCTGCTGTGATCATCCAGCAGCTCACAGATGTTTACTGATTTTATGAAATGGATTTTTCATTCAGTCTTAGTGCAACTACTACATGATGCCAGGGCTGCTAGTACGTCTCTCCTAAATTACAGACTACTGAAAGTAATTACTCTATCTGGGTTCTACTTAAATGGGAGCACTGTTTGTATAAAGGGTGCTGGAAGCTAAGGAGATGCAGTTTTTCTGTGATGTTTTTCACCCTCAGCCCCACAGGCACAGCCATGCCTTCACCAGCTGTTGCTCCAGTGAGGACTTGGGAAGATTTCAATACACTTCTCTGGTTTGAGGTGTTAAGGCTGGCTGACTGGAGATGTTAAATGCAACAGGCTGGAGGAAGTCTTCCTAGGATGTGAAAAAGCCTGACCAGCTAATTCAGCTAGCTTAAACCAGGTGCTTAAGTGATGAAGTGACGAATACTCCTACTGCCAGCATTTTAAAGCCCCTGGGATATCTAATCCTTTTTAGAGCTAGTCTAGGTCACAGGGCAGTAGAAACCCCAGTGACCTTGTTTTACTGAGACACTGTCTGTTGTTAACACTTGTAAAATAACTTCAGCTCTGCAGAAAAAGGAGCGGGGAAGAAAGCAAAGTAACCTCAGAGTAGGTAAGTTCATTAGCTGTTCTGTCTTCCTTGCACTTTCAGCTGTATAAAGTACTCAGAACTACGCAAGTTTACATGAGCTGCATTTGACTATGTTGCTGCTTACACAGAAATACATTTATCTTGTCAGACTTTGGCACTTGGATGATTTAGATCAGCATTTGTGTGAGTTAAAAGGAACATCCAACCTCATTAACTTTTTGGGGTAATGGCTGTCTTCCAGAACTAGCTTTGAAAATCTCTGCTTTAGACTACGGCCAAGTACTAAAAAGGTATTTCAGAATAGCTACAACATTCTATCCTAATTTTCTGCCTAATTAAGTACATTCAGCTTATAAAATATAGAATGATTTTCTAACAGCCAGATAAGTTCAGAGGGAAGTTATGCCTGTGTAAAATCTCTCCAGTACATTCAGCAAGAAAGAACATTCTGCAGTTAATAGTCTCCTGACAATACTTTCATTTCTGCAGGTGAAATAGTCTCTCTTATACTCCCCCCTCCCAATTTCTATTAATTTTTGTCAGTAACTTGCAAACACAAACCAATGACACAGGAGCACCAGCTATATTCTGTAATAGCATGCCATTTCTATATAATTGTACTGCTGGCCATGTAATCCCAAGTCTGGTTTTTCACAGGCAGTTAAAACACAGCGTCCACGCAGTTCACAAAACAATCAACATTCAGTCATGAGGGTTTGTGAGCAGCATAAACAGAATTAATACTGTTACAAAACTCTACTAGTTCATTATCTGAACCGGCTTTCAGGAACAGCGAGTTTGGTAAAAGAAGAAACAGAGCTGGGAGAAAGAAGGGAGAGGAATTTCCAAAAAGGAAACTTAATATTTTCAGTTGGAAGTGACCTACAGTGATTACCTAGGCTGACAGCCTGACCACTTCAGGGGTGACCATAAGTTAAGGGCATTGTCTAAATGTCTCTTAAACACTGACAGGCTTGGGGCATCGACCATCTCTCTGGGGAACCTGTTACAGTGTTTGACCAGAAAATGCTTCCTGATGTTCAGTCTAAACCTCTCCTGGTGCAGCTTTGAACCATTCCCACGTGTCCTATCACTGGATACCAGAGAGCAGAGCTCAGCATCCCCCTCTTCCCTTCCTTGGGAAGCTGCAGGAGATCAAGGAGGTCACCCCTCAGCCTCCTTCCTCCAAAGTAGACAAGCCCAGAGCCCTCTACCACTCCTCACAGGACGTTCCTTCCAGCCCTGTCACCAGCTCTGCTGCCTCCTCTGGACACATTCAGGCACCTTCACATCCTTCTTAAATGGTGGGTCCCAGCCCTCCCACAGTGCTCCAGGTGAGGCTGCACCAACACTGAACAGAGCAGGAGAACCACCTCTGCTGAGCGGCTGGTGATGCTGTGTCCGATGCACCCCAGGACGGGGTTTGCCCTCTTGGGGCACGGTGCTGACTCACACAGAGCCTGCTGCTGACCAGCATCCCAGAGATCCCTTCCTGCAGGGCTGCTCTCCAGACACTCCTCTCCTGATAGATGCTTAGGCCTGGCATTATTCCATCCTAGGTGCAAAATCCAGCATTTGGACTTGTTAGATTTCATTCCATTATGATTGCCCATTGCTCCAATCTATCTAGATCCCTCTGCCAGGCATCTTGTCCCTCAAAAGAGTCAACAGACACCCCACTCCCCCAATTTGGTATCCTCACCGAATTTGCTAATGGTGGGTTTGACTCATGCATCCATATCACTGGTCTTGGAAGTTTTGAAGAACTTAGTAAACTTCATTTTTATTGACACCTCAAATGGAAATTATTTGTTGTGCATTCGTCGTCATGACTGTCAGCTACACTAACAGCTAAACTAAAATTTGTGAGGTGAACCATGAACAAATTTTACTACAATACAGAATCAGAATAAAATAATTTAAAATGTCACATGACTCAAACCCTACTCCTTCCTGCTCCAGAAGAAGTGTCTTGGTGCATTTTTATTTTTCATGGGGATGTAGACTGCTCCACATGTTGGGGATCCTGAACTCTCCTGGCCTTCAATGGAAAGTGAAGATGTGAAACCCCTGTAGATACCAGCATCCTAATCAGAAGAAAGCTAAGAAGCATGAGGCACTTCCACAAATTAAAACCCATGACAAAGCACATCAAATAAGTGTTTCCTACTAACAGACACTGTAAAATATGTTGCAGTATATTTAAATAAATGTAGTATATTGCAGTCATCATTCTGATGACCTTGTATTCTGCACTTCATCAGCTGCCAGTGAAATAACTGCACAATATTTAATTAACTCTTCAGGATACACAGGCATTCTCGTGATTGTTAGGGCTTCAGATTAATACTAGAATTAAAAAGCTTTCATGCTATGGCAAAACCAGCAGAGCTATGGATGTAAGAGATATGAATGTAAAGAATGTAAAAATGCTTCTTTGTAGACCTACAGACATGACACAGCCGCCCCCCATCTAATCCACAGCAGTAATCAGTACTACACAGACTTTTTAGCAATGCAAGCATTTCTGTTTTACAGTCCCAAAAGCTCAGCAAGCCAAATCCCTAGAAACAGTTAACTTGCCACAGTTGCTAAGGTCCTCAGCAAATAGGGCAGGGTTTTTTTGCACACAATGGATTTGTTAAGACATGCTAACCATAAAAAAAAAAAAAGGCAAAAAGAGATCAGATCATTGCTGAGTATAATAGGTAATTTTGAAAAAAAAAACCCAAAAAAAACCCCAAAATGTTCAATGTTACAGTTGACATAAATATACCTCAGTCCAGTTGCTCACTGTCCAGTCAGATGGGCACAAGATATCTCTGTTGCACGACAGATGGGTCTTTGGCTTAAGAAGGTGCTGGCACTCTGTAACAGCCAGTGCCTGCTCATCAGATCCCACGGTCTGGATGCAAAGAACAGTTCGCTTCTTCTGGCCTGTTGGGCCACATGTGGTTGAACATTTCTGCCATTCTCCTGCCCACCATCTGAAAAAAAGGGGGTCAGAAACATCAGAAAACAATTCATCATAAGCATAGTATAGATAAGGTCAGAGATTACAAGAAGAACAAACAGCAATTTAAATTCTGGGTTCAGATGTTAACTTTTCCTCTTAAGTCCAGGTCACTCAAGCTTTCCCATCTGCCTTGTCCCAGACAATGACTGCAATATGCTGATTCTCAGACAGAAGCAGGCAGCAAGTATTATATTTTTACAATATATAAAAATCCACTGAGTAAATGGTCTTTCAAGCCAAATTTGAGGAACTGCTACCAAGTTTAGTTTATTTACTGTTTATTGTTGCTACCTCAGTACAGAAAGAGTTAACAAATAAGGATCACTGGAAGGTCTGTAATGATAGCACAGAAGTGAAGAAGGTGGTTCCCTCACACATATCTATGCAGCCAGTATTGCAGAAGTGCTCAAACTGATCCTGTATTACTTCCAGAAGGAGAAGCAGCAAGGCACACAGCCCCAAAAACCAAGCTAGTCAAACTTACCCTGTGTGCACCCACATGGGATCAGTGCCCTGCAGCACTGCACCTCTGGGCCTAGTCTCTGGATCTCCAATAGCATGGACTTTTTTGTACTTTGTTCCTTCACGAAGTAAAAATGAATCTCTCTCCTGATTAAAGACGGTCTTCTGTAGCATACTATGTCTAACATTAATCACTAGATGAGTGATGTTTCCTCTTCTGCAGTATTTTCCAATGCCAAACACCTTACTGACAAGAGTCATGCCCTTTATATTCAGTTTACCTTCATCTTTCCACAGCTTCACCCACCTATTTCTTCTCATGCTGACACAGAGTGGGTCAAATATCTGCATGCCTGCCTTCCATGATAACAAAGGAGGGAAAAAATTTACGGGTTTCTACTATTTTAGAAGCACTGGCAATAACTGCGACATTTGCATAAAGATTTGCACTTAAAAAAAGTCCTACAAAACCAAACAAGAATAGTCTTTTTCCTTCCAGTTCAGAATGCCCTAGGCACGAACATAGCTTCCAGCTGCTCTATAAAAAAATCTGGCCCAGCTGTAACTTTAAGCCCCAAAAGCTCCTAGACATTATTATTTTTCCCTGAGTTTTTAAGCAGGTCGTGATAAAGCCTTATGCTGAAAAACAAACAAGGACATATTTAGAAAACACCTTTCTAGACAGAAAGGCGGAAAAAATTGCTTTTGGCTTACAACCAACACCATTCTATTGTATTTTTTTCCTTTTAAAGTCAATGAACTTAGAGCAAAATAATCTCATACTGATAAATACGAAGTTCGACATCCAGTTTTACAACAGATTTTGTTTTCTTCACTTTGCTGACAATCCCTCACCGCCTTCCTCTGTAGTTTCCATGTTCCTTCTCTGTTTCCTGATTAATTTATTCTTTGGTTGTAATGAGCTCTCATTGATGTGGAAGACACTGATATCTATTCCTATTCATTAAAAAAAATCCTCAGAGCAATCAAGCTGTGCACACAGCTCATTTGTGCAACCATCTGGTCTTCTCCCAGGTACCTACACCTACCTTCCTTCCCTTTAGCTACGTATACACACAGTGTTTCCTTTTAAATTACCCAAGAAGCCCTTTGGGGCACAGACTGTTTTGCTGTATGCTCTAGAATGCAGCCCATTGCCACCACTACCCTGGCTGAGGCCTCTGGACATTGCTGTAATAAAAGAACAATTTATTTTTCTCCTTCTCCTGCCTTTCTTTGGGTTGTATCTTGATCTTCCAGGCTTCTTTAAACAGCAGAGGAAAACTAACAAGCCATTAAAGAGAAAAAGTGAGTGCACCTCAGCAGAACATATCAATAAAAAAGAGAAAAATATATTACCACAACCTGGATCAAGTAATTTCAGGGTTGTTTTCATCTCTTGCATCTTCTTTCCAATTTTATAAACTCTAGTATCTTGTAAATTACTGACACTCCAGCACAAATGCAATTTGGAAGTATGTGAATTGCCCTATTAATTTTATTGGAACCAGATCACATATTTCAGGCTATAGACATGATAAGATGACACCCCCTCCTTCTCCATTTTCAAATGACTCTAAGTGAGGTTTTAGGTTTATTTATTATTTCTTGTTTAAATACTGAACCCCTAACAGTAAATTATCAGAGCTTATTACAGAACCTATCTTGATCAGCAGTAATGGTGTACAATTAACTGCTACACACAAAACATTTTTTAAAGTCACTGAAGAAAGTAAGGTGCTCCTAAGTCAGGAAATCCCAGAGTTAAGATTTTATCCTATTGTGCCTTTATAGTGGTCAATCTTAAATTACATTTAGTCATGTGACTTTTTCTATAGAGTTCTTCCTCATTCAGTGCAGTTAATTGCCCAACACCATGTTGACCATACATACTTCAAAAAACTTGGTCTGACTGACAGCTTATTCTTATCAGTATCTGGAGTTTGTAATGATGCATTTTCCCATTTCCATTCCAGGGTACACGCATGTGCCTTAAACACTCACACATGAGAAAATTAACATGGAAGCACACGCACTCTTGTCTCTCCATGGTCCCTTGCACTAAGGACTTCCAAACTGCAGCATCCCAGCCAAAAGTTAAGAAAGGCAAGACATGGTTGGCAGAACATCTACCCCCCTTTTTTCTGTCCTGGTATGGGATGCCCCAAAGCAGGTCCTGGACCACACAGAAGGGAGCTGCACCTGCTTTGCGCACCTCTATTTATCTTGGCACTTCTGCTATATCCTTGCACTGCAAAGGCATAGCCAAAACTGGAGGTGACTGCTGAACACACATCCAGAATTGACATGGCAATTTGAGATCCAAACATGCAAGTTCTAAATTGAAATGATCAAGCTGTAGGATCTCCCAGCTGTAACCTAAAGAGAAGGGGGCACTGCCAGATAGACTTAGCTTTGAGCAGGTTATAAACAAGGCTTTCTTTAAATCACACATATAATAGAGGGATGCTTGGCAAAGAAAAGCATATGGGGAAGAAAACTAGTGGGTAGATGCGCTGATGCTGGTGAGAGACTGGGACAGTTGGTAGAAACTGAAGCCTGATGAGAGTTGCCATACAGCACTTGTTCCTACCTCTGGCTCCTGATGGTTAAATACCACTACTGCAACTGAGTGCTGCTTAAATATTAATGCATCACCTGATCCTTGCAAAGTGACAGGACTTGTCTTATCTCCACAGGCAGGCATAGCATGGGAAGATTATGGTAACAAACAAACAAGCAAGCAAAATGCTTGATTTGGGTAATTAATATGTGTGAGCACATGTTAAAAATAGCCTCAGTTAGTCTTCAGATGCAGCTGTGAGTGCTCAGCTATTCTGCAGTCCAGCCTGGAACTGAGGTAGGCAGAAAATCTGATTCTTTCAGGTGGCATCTCAAGCTGCCTTAAATGAGCCATATCTCTTTTCCCCATATGCTGAGTTACCAAGGTCTGTAACAATTAAGCCAGGACCGAACACCCTTGTCCATAAAGTCTTTATCTATAGCTAGATGATGTGTGCTGAATGAGGTACGGAACCTGTTGAAAAAGTAGCATGGGATTTTGAAAGTATTTGTTATATTCATGCCTACGGGGTTGAATATTCCCTCTCTCCCACTGTAGTATGCCACAACTGAGGGAATTGTCTTCTTTCACTATGGCACAGCAGATACATACCAACTGGGCACTGATTTTCACTCTGTGTATTTCACAGAATCAAGACTTCCTATTCTAGTTATGCTGTTGGGAGTCTACTAAGTAGTCTGGAACCAGGACAATACAGTAACAGCAGATAAAACCCAGAAGATGCCAAGTATTTGTAAGATTATCTATTCATGGTTACTCTGTTTAAGTGGTTAGTCAGCTTAAAAATGCTTCAGACAATTTTCTTTAAGGAGAGAGCAAAACTTTTGTTCAGAACACTGTAAGCAGTTAAAATCTCACTCTTTTTCTTCAAGTAGTATCTATTAATTTTTATCATTAATGCTCATAATGCTAAACACCTGCCTACCAAAGAAACATGTAACTGGAAACCATATTCCATAGCATAACATGGAAAAAAGCATATGTTTATGCTACTATCTCATTGCACTCTAGCTAAGCAATATGACTGAAGTTTTACTTGAGCGGTTGTATGACATTTTAACTCTCAGCTGTTCAGCCATCTTCGTTTTGTTCCGAGTCAACATGTGACATACATGTTTTGTGACGTTTTTAATATCTTGTTTTGCACCAGATTCTTTTAGTAGGAAGTGAGGGAAAAATAAATGCAGACCACCTAACAAACAAGCATGTTAGGACTTGAACTTCTCAGAAGCCTGTCACTTAAGCAGTTTATAATTAACTTCCTGAAATGGATTAATGAGATAAGATCCAATTTGTGAGAGTCGCAAACATGATAGTAATGTTATTTTTTAGTTGTAGCTACTGTTTGATAAATAGTCTAATTCTGATTTAGTGGCTATATTCACTACAATTTAGTACCTATATTCATCATTGCATGTTTTCCATCAGCAGAATTTAGCAGATCACAGGAGGGAGGTTTATGCAAGAACAACTTCCTTCTTCTTTTAGATAGGATGTTCCCATAATGAACCTGGTTCACTGCTGGCACGTGTGAGATCATCTCTCGGTTTGAGTTTCGTGGCTGCAGCAGCAACCAAGGGTCCCCTGCAGTGCTGTGTTTAACAGTACTGTCCTGAACTCTAGCACAGAGTTTAGCCACCTCTCTACAGAACACTTGGTCTTCAGCAGCTTCATATGAGTACTTTCTGAATAATGCAGTCACTTAGAACAAATGGGATAAATTGAGCTCATTTGGAACTTTGGCATAACTAGCACAGTTTATACTTGTTATAAATAAAAACCACCCCCATGTACGTGGGTAGCCTCCGCTCTTAACTAGCCAACTAGTTAAGAATTTTATCTATTATCAATTGATTTCCTAGCAATGTACAAAGAATTATGAAATGATAGTAGTTTATGCTTTTAACAGTCATTTTTAGAGGCTGCAAGCACAAAGATGCAATTCCCAGAGCAGGCATCATATCCTATTGAGAAAATACTTGGAAACAACTAATTAAACCAGCATCTATGCAGAATTCTTTACATTAAAGCTTCATGAAATTCATTGCTGGCAAATGTAACACAACACACTGTAAGGGAACCATTGTCATGACATTGATTTGGTTCTGATTTAACTAGAATTATTTGAAAAAGACTCATATACCATTGCAAACAGCATATAAACAATTTCTGAAGACAACAAAAGAACAAATGAAGATGTTCTGGTACCTAAAGCATGAAAGTAAACCGAATATTGATTCCTTCCGCAAATCTGTACCTATTTTACAAGATGTCACCTGAAACGCTTGCTGTGGTTGGCCTTCCTTACCCTACTCACTAAAATGGCAGAACAGAAAAAACAGATCTGAAGACAAATTAAAATAATGTTACAGGAATAGAAACATGATTCCCATGTGATCACAGAATAAAGAAAGCTGCATTTTGCTGAAAAGAAAAAATAAGGGAACATGATGAAAAGATGCCAAATAATAATAGTTATAGAGAACGTAAAATATTTAGTTACAGAAGTGGACATTTCCAATCATCCTCCCTCACAAAAAGGACAAATGAGTATTAAAACCCACAAAAGGAAAAACAGCATCAAAAGGCTTAAAAAACCCCTCTCTGCAAGTTAGTTATTGGTATACACAGTAATACCTTATCACTTTAGCTAAGACAGGAGTACAATTTTCAAAATAAGAAAAAAATCTATTTAGTTTTCAGGAAGACCTGCACTTAAACTGAACAAAAATACTACCCACACAGATCAGAGAGCAATCTTGGCCATTCCCAGCACAGACTGTTCAGTAATTTACATTAGAAACCTCTTAGAGCAGCTCACTCCTAATTTGTCCATTACTGGGTTTCTGCCATCTTGCTCTGAAATGACTGGGAGCTCTCACCCATAGACACCACACTAACCTGCGACTACAAACAACATCTTCCTTTGAATAAGGCTGCTATTTAACTCTACCAGAGCCCTCCCAGCATCTGTTACCTGGGTGGACAGTCTTTCTCATAGCACTTCTTTTGTCGCCCGTTTGGCTGTGTTGCTGGGTCGCAGAAGGAGTTTTTGATGGCTCCGCTTCCCTTCCGCATGCAGTGGGCAATCTGGCGCCGCACCCCTGCAACAGAAAGACACAAAAAATGGGAAAGTAATCCCTGTAGGCTGGGTATTTGCTGCAGAAATCCTCAAGGATGGGAGTACACATTGGTCATACTCCACATCCCAGAATACAGTAACAGCTCTCAAAGTCAGTGCTGCTGACTGCCTGAACTAAAGCAAGTATGAATGTCCTTTAATATAGCTGAAAAGGAGTTAACAGAGCTATTCTGGATCAGACAGCTCATAGAAAGCATCTTCCTGAATCTCAATTTAGTTGTCAGCCTCAAAAAGGGCTCCTGCAGGATCTGAAGCAGATTTAAAGAGCTATGAACAGTTCTTGGACTACCCACAGATAATAGGCAACACAGCAGCATCAGGCTATTCACAGTAAGTGTAGTTTTGTTGGTGTTTCTGTACTTCTGGGAAGACTGTTTAAGCAGAATACAGACTGGACTATATGAGCAAAACTAAGAACAGTAATCCATAGATAATAGTACTTGAGGAATAGGAACATATACTTATTCATATTCCTCTATACAGCAATGTCCCCATATGTCCTGGCTTTGGCTGTGATAGAAAACTAACTCCATCCCAGATGAAGCGAGGACACCAAAAATGGCAATTAAAATATATTTCCTAAAATTTCATGCTAGCATTAGGGCTATTTTGCTTTAAGCAATTTTACAGCGTTCCATTTTTCTTTCCTCTTAAAAATTTAACAATCTATGTACAAAAATAAATATAGAAAAACCAGAATATCAACTCTAATTCTAGGAAATCCAAAGCTAGCAACAGAGGTAACTTGTGGTGGGAGAACCAAGCATGGACTGTGTGCGTGAAGGAAAAGGTTGCAGTAAGATATTACTGAAAAAGGCCTTAACACCACAGAAGGAAACTTTAATTCATATTTGGGTCATTCCACAGAAGCAGATGGAAATATCCCTCTTTTTAGCACCTTAGGACATGAGGTATGTGAGGAAATGTTACAGCTTTTAGAGTACTTTAATACTTATGACCAAGACATGTAAGACAATTACGGTCAAAAGCATGGGGGTTGATGACTGAGACTCCTCTAATCACACATGAAGGTTGATTAACTAAAGCAAGGATTAGTTTCAACTACATGGGAGGATTAAGGGACGTCAGACCTGTGCTCCATTAATACCCTTCGCTGAAGCTTCCAAGCTCCAGGGTTGATTATGTGGAAGTAGCTGCATGACTTTGCAGCGTGGCTGGACATGGCACCCTCCTATTCCTAGGCGACTTCAAGCAGCAGAAAGCTTTTTTGTTCAGTGCAGGACTCCCAGGGAGCAGTGCTTTCTTTTATGCTAAGAAAAATGTAACTGGAATAGTTACCAACCTTCCTGCTAGTTGTAAACAAAGCAGTTCACAGAATTACGTTTCTGCCCCTTTCAAAATCAAGATCTGTTGCTGTTACAAACGCAAGTAAGAGAACTGTTTAGCTTTGATACATGTTTTAGTGTCATTTCAGCTGCTGTAACTCACTTTAAAACCACTATAAACTTTTGCAAATGTTTTGTTTTGAGGCAGTCCATTCTCGTAAAATATTTGCTGATCGCTGGCATCCATAAATTAATTTATTCACACAATTTTTATTACGGAAGTTATGTGAACTCCAACTGTGGTTTCAAAATTTGGAAAGTTCTGGAATGGATGTACATATTTAAATAAGCTATAAACACACAGTTTTTTCATTATGACTATGTACAGTTCAGTTCCAAAAAGCTGTGAGGAATCCTATATGCACATACTGATACACACATATATGTGGTTATACACAGAATGACGTAACGAAACACTTGTTTCTTTTCATCTTGAGCAAGTTGAACTAGAAAACATTGCAGAAGTAGAAAACCAGTCATCTTGCACTGACCATGCCCTACTAAACATTTACAGAGCTATGTAACTTAAATGTGTAATATCCTATTTAAGTCACAGATTAAAAATTCTCGATCTATTTAAAAATCAGTAACACCATTTCTGTATGGCTCTGGGAAGGCAGCTGTTTTCCTCCCTTCATCTCTTTTACATCTCTCTGACCTCAGTGCTAACTAGTCCACAGCTGTTTTGCATGCACGAAGGTGCTGGCTGTATTCATCAGGACACTGTCTCTTGGTCATTATACCACTACAAAGATCCTGCTTTTTCCTCTGGAGTGGGAACATCCCATTCATTTCTACTCGCCTCAGCAGTCATTTGTAGTCCTTCCCACACCCATGTTTTCTTTACAGAGAAGTGTACCATCACAGCTGTATTAAGTGGTACCTCTCTGTAGTAATTCATCTCTAATGCAGGATTTTTCAGATGGGAGGTGGACCCACCGGGCTCCTGATTTCTCTCTTACTTTGGGAAAAAAAGTGCAAGTTTAAAATTATTTGGGTGTGGAATGTTTTTGAAACAGAGATTAGAAATCTGTTGGCTGCATAGCCTCAGTCTGGGCAAAAGCAAGACTGAGTAGAATAGAAAGTAAGGATCAGAAGCAACCATACAAAATGTGTATGCAAAAGAGAGTATTTGATTTTAAAACTAATTTGAACACATAATTATCTAAGTTGTGCATCAAATCAGATGCTCCGCAAGGAGTTCACTTTGTATTTGAATGAACAAATTCTATTCAGTGCAAGCACAAGTTATGCACACAATGCAAGAGCCAACCCTTACGTTCTCAGTGTTAAAAAACTTAGACCCATAAAACCAAAGGAAAAGATAATGACCTTTTTTTTCCTAAAATCAATGCTACAAGTTTGGTAGTACATTTCAGTTCAGGAACACGTGGAGGTAATTTTGCAAAGTAGCCCGACAACAGTTGCGAAGGATTTAGATGGCACATAACAACCCCCAAACAAATCTTACAGTTAAATCCTTTTGCAAAGCTTTGAGAATTTGTCAATTACTGATGCTATCTATGGAGAAATACATTGTTGAGATTGCCTAATATGATCTCCCTTAGTTGCATCTGTGCCGTGCTTTGCTTCTTGTTACGTTTAATGTCATTCAAAGCTAGTTCTAAGAAACATGATTAAAGCCTTTAGAGAAGGATGAAGGACTCATTATTTCTAATGGAACATTATTTAAATAAAAAACAATGGGTAGCTGGTCTAGAAAAAAAACTCAGGGAAACATTTAAGTCAATCTTCCTATAAAAACAGTTTAAGGGCTTTACACTGCTGTCTTGACAGTAGGCTCTGGAGGGACAGGCTCTCAGCCAGACGGTGCAGCAGTTTGCAAGACACTGTCTGGTGTGCTCACATACCAACTGCAAAGCAATTTCCTTCTGCATAAAGTGAATGGCAGGCAGAGAGTCAAACTGCCCTACAGTGAGGACACAGCAAGGCTTATGATTTTTAATATAAAATATCCCCTTCAGCATTTGTTTGCCATGAAATGGGTTGCAATGTAATTACTAAACCACCTTCTACATTGCAAGTGGATATCAGGTATTGCAATGTGTTCTCCTTTTCCCTGCATGCATTATAAGAAAACATTGACTTTCCAGACAGTATTTTTTCCCTGTTAAATGGTGTTATTGTAGAATGGCCAGAGACACTCTTTAAGACTACAGAAGACAGGGGCAGATGAAGGAAATTAAGGAAAACATAAGCACATTTGCACCTTCTCTTTCTCAGCTGCAATGGAGTTGGGGAAGGATATGGGTCAGGGCAAAAGACCAAGAATCTTTAGGAAAATATCTTTAGGGAGCTGCTCTGGGTTAATTCCAAGAAGGGACAGCTTCACCCTACAAAAACATTATTCATCACTGGGACTTTTTCCAGGTACACTTCCCTTGAATAAGGAGCTGTATCATAGGGCTAAAACCGTAATTTTTATCTTAAGAAAGATGAGGCTTTCCTGAAAAAGACCATTTTGTAGTCCCATTTGTCCCCCTTAGCTTCACTCTCTTGGCTCCAGAAAGCATTTGTTTGTGTTTTCCTGATCTCTGTGGCTACAATAGGCCAAAGTGCCCTTGGATTTACTGCTGCCATACTGACCACTTGTGATGAGAGGCCCTATGCTGAATCTTTAGGTAGGTTCAAGTTTCACTTTTCTTGGCCCACCCTTTTACCCTGAGAAACAATTGGTTTATTATTTACCAAATGATAATGGCAAAATTCTTTGAAGGTTATTTTACTTCAGACTGAAAAAATGCAACTTTTCTTATCTCCTTCACCCTCACTGCAGGCTTGTCTTCAGTAGACTTGTCATGCAGCACACCCATAGAAGATGATCTTGTCTACTTCAATACACTTTTTTCTCACAAACCTTTCAAAACTCTTCAAATGCCTGAGATTTGGCAGTACTGTTACTGCTCTGTTACTGCCAACAGCAATAAATTCTGAATCTAAACAGAGGGTACGTTCAGATAAAATCAATCTCATCATTCAAAGTCGGAAGGAAATTCTGTGGAAGTCAGAGAAAAGTTTTGCTTAATCCAGCAACATTGGGGACATTTAGTTCTGCCCTTATTCTGCCTCTTGGCCCCAAACTGAACTGAACACAATAATGCTTAACTGTATGAAATTTTCTGGTTCTAGGTCAAAAATCATTACTATGCCCATATTCTCTGCTAAAAGTAGCAAGACTTTAAATTTAGAGTTTCCAAATTTCCATATGATGAAGAGGTAACATTTTTCAAATGCAGCTTGCATGCTGCTCCAGGTATTTTTGCTGATGTGTTTATGCTCTGACCATTCAGCCATAAACCTTCTGCATTTCTACACCAGTGTGGTGCTTAGGAGGGCCACCTAGCTCAGATTCAGTGCCTAGCTACTATGACAACAACACTGCTGGTCCACATTCAGTCAGCCCAGAATACACCAGATTAAGCATTGGGTACCTGCAGAAAATTGCAGACAGACCGTAATATCAGAGCTCCCCCAGTTCAAGTGATGCACTGAAGCTCTGTGCTAGGGTTTCCCTTTTTTCTGGGCAGGAAGTTAAGTGACAATACCCTGACTGCATCATATATTAGCAGATTACATCCTCCTTTAGACCTGTTCAGTTACTTTTAGAAATGTCTGCATCTCAGATGAAAGACAGCAAAGGGTCTATTAATTTATTTTCTCCTGTACATGAAGGAATGCAGAGAACTGGGAAGGCTTCTGTGCTGTTTTTGAATTATGATGCACCTCTTGGCTCCCCTGCCATCTCATGCCGGTAAGTCCACAATCTTGCCTGAAACATATCATTTCTGCTTATGCAAAGCAAAAGCCAATGTGCTCAAGAAACATTTATTAAGAACGCAAAGACAGCAAACAAGGGAAGCCACTTATTAAATAAAAACTGGAAAAAAACCCCAAAACATATCCTGCATTATTTTAAGTAATCCATGTGGCAGTTAGAAATAAAAGCCAAGTCACACAATTCTTTAGCAAGAAGGTAGTACATAGGAATACAATTTACTCAGTGAGAAACAGTTCTGGGAAAAGTGCAGCTAATGTAAAAAAACAAAAAACCCAAACAAAGAAATAAAAACCCACAAAAACCCCAAACAAACCAACCAACCAACCAAATCAACCCAAAACCAAAATACTCCACCAGAACAACATAATAAACAGCCTAGTAAGATTCCCTCCCTCCCTCCCCTGCTTCTGTTCTCATGCTAATTGTTACATTAAACCCTGTTCACAACTGGGTATCAGAACTAAAACATGCAATTAAGGAAAACACTTGGTTTAGGTACCTATTTAAATAAAACGTTGGCTTTTTTCCACTAAACAGAACACACATGTTGTTTTGTGACAGACTCTTCTCAAACAGCCAAACAAAAAACACCCAAAAAACCCTCCAAATAAACAAAAACCCACCACAAATATCTGCACAAACACATATATACATGGATGTACAAACATCTTTGTAATATGCCTTATATATATATTTATTTTTATAATACAGGAATGCTATTGGAATGGGGTAGTTTACACTATTATTCTAAAATTCTTCTTCTAATCTAATATTATGGGCAGATAATGCCCTTTATTCAAACTACTGAAATCATATTATTATAGTGTCTTCTCTGACAGGAAAGATTAACAAATTGTTATTCCTGTAATCAACACTGCTTCTAGATTCCCACTGAGATTTGTTACATTTGTTTGTCTTTTTCTTCTGGAAAGTAGTTAATGAAAGCACTAATTATCAAAAAACACTGGCAACACCCTATCATTAGAAAGAGAAAAGGCTTGTTTTGTATTGTATGTCCAATGACTGTAACATTAATCTTCTCCTGTTCTGTACAGTTTTCACACAGTAAAAGCACAAGGTACCCATCCTATCTCCAAGACTCTTCCGTTTTGTGAAACTTAAGAACTAGTTCAGATGGGAGGCTGAAATCTCTTCCCCCCAAGCACAGATCTCCTTTCACACACATATTTCTCATCTTTTAAACATCATTCCTGCAAAGAATGGATAAAAACCTTTAACTTTCATAAAGAAACCATCAGTCTTTTTATCATTATTGATCTACTGCAAGCATTAACTTCATCTCGCTGGTCTGTTAACTACTTTAAATAAAGTTTTCCTGCTCGCATTTGCAGTCTATTACCAAAGGCAAACTTCTGGACCTGTTCTCAGATCCTACTTCATGGTTGTCACTGGTTGTCTGGTTTAACATGGTGCACAGAACTACTTATAACTGCAGCTGTTCCAAAGCCCCTGTACTGAGAGTGGCAAAGACATGTAAGTTCTCAAGACTGATTTTAAGAAAATACTTACTGAGAAATGCCAAAATAATACTGCTGCTTATCAAGGCAGGACAGAAATGGAGAACATTTTTTGTAGTTGACATATTGGATAGACTCAGTAGGGAAACTAGAGTAGGTCATAGATCAGTAAGTGCTAGGAAACAGGGTTACTGTGAACAATATTGACAACAAATTATGAGGAAACTGTAGTCTTTCATTTTGGTTGTCAGAGTTTGAGAATGTCACAGCAGGTATCAGAGAAACCTATTTGCCTTAAACGATTTAATAACATTTTATTTTAAAGCCAAAATATATTAGTGTGACCATGTGATCGGATTTCCCACCAGATGCAGATTAAAGAACCTAACCTCTTTGAGGATGCTGTCTGGATAACTTAAAGATAAGATCTGCCAGTTATGAAGACAAACAGAAAAAGGAAGTGAAGAATTACCTCTTCCACATGTAACACTGCAGGCTGTCCAGTCTCCATACTGCCAAAAATACTCTGGCTCTTCAATCTCATTCTCATGACTTTCTTCTTTACGTATAGTATATTCATACTTGATTCCAGGATTAGTTTCCTGAAAAAGTAGCTAGAAAAAGAGTGTGGTTTATTTAATTACCTATGATATTAATAAGCTACTGGCCCAAAGCTTCCAAAGCACGAAAACAGAAGAATCAGCAAGGTTTAAAGCAGCCCATTTTGAAGCCTAATATGAGTTCAGGAAAGCAGACTGGCAAAACTTCCATTCATGCGCTGACATTGGCATACGTGTATCTTTCTAAGTAAGACACAGTTGTTTCTCATGCACTTTTGCAAGCAGTAAGTAGGAGTAAGTGGGTCAGCATAATTAGTATCCTATCGACTGTAGGAAAAGATAAGGCGAAGACCATCCAGGCCACTGCCTGGATGTGCTGCTGATTAAAAGCCATTGCCTATCACCATTGTAAATTATAATTTCCCTACCCTTCTGACATAGCTGTTACAAAACAACTACTAGGTCAGAAATTTTCAGACTTTATTCAGACACTTCCTGAATATTAATTTCAGTGTTTCTGGTTTAAGAAGGAAAATTGCAGTTAAGAAGAGCCACACAAGAAATTCACAATTTGTTGATGAGAGGGAAAAAAGAGAAACAACGGTTGGACTCGATGATCCTAAAGGTCTTTTCCAACCTAGTTGATTCTATGATCACCAAGGAAAAAAAGTCTTCAGCAATGAACTTCTACTCTTCATCCTAATTGTTTCCTTGACCATGTTACTGACAGTGAAGATCTGATCTTCTCATCACACATTCAAAGTGTGAAAGTGGATACCATCACACCCCTAATACTTCTAATTGTATGGTGGATACACAGGTAAACAAGCCAGGAAAGATAGAGAACAAAGTGTAAATTTTTACAGAATTAACAGAAGCTGGTTATGTTTAAGTTAGAATCTGTAAAGCAACAAAAAAGAAACAAAAGGGAGCAATCTCAATGGATGCTAAAAGGATCCATTTCACAAATCATAAAGGTCCACCTATGTAATGCTGCATTTTCTTGGTCAGTGCAAGCTGTCACAGCTCTCAGCCTTCCCCAGCTCTCCCTGTTCACAGCCTGACAGCAGTTTCCTTTTTGTGATAAACAGTAAGTGAGCCTGGTTCACATCACAGCCACATGTTGGTCTAACCTGGCACAAGATGCAAGGAAGTCTGGGCAAAGGACTGACAAACTACAGATGGAAGGATCCCTATCCTAGTGGCAGCACTGGATTATACCAGCTTCTAATAATCATTGGACTGTGACACTGGACATATATTTTCAGGCAGAATGAACAACCCTCTAAAGTAAAGTGTTTATTTCTCTCCAAAATAGCTCAACTTCATTTTTGCAAGATGGCATGCTATTAGACTGGTTTATATAAAAATGTACGTATTTTTCCAGCCTCAGCTTCAGAGCCTTAGCACATTCTGCTGCCATTCAAACCCAGCAAGTTCCATGGCCATCCCCTATTTACCTGAATCCATACTGATTCATTGGTGGGTCCTGGAGCAGTCAGATTTTCTAGATCCCCTGTTCTGTCATACTGAAATATCGTGCCTGCCACTTTGTATTCCCCATTCCACTGGATGATAAAGCCTCCATTCAGGTAATATTTTTCTGGGTCTTTGCTTCGCACAGCAAGGAAGTTTCCTGCTTCTGCAACTTCCATGACTTTGATTCCCCTTGCACCTTTCGGAATTAGCCCAATATCAACGTATCCTAAGAGACAAGAAAGGTTCATGGAGGTGAACAACAAAAATATCATTGCATTTTACTTATGTATAAGATTATTAAAATTAGAACTTTGATTAAAAATATATACAAATGTGCTATGACAGAGCTTCTATTTCAGCTAGCTAATAGTGTGACTTTCCAAGTCAGGTATTCTAGTATTGGCTGGGGAATACAAATACACGTTCTGTTTAGGCAGCGACAGTAGCATTTAGAAGGGATGTGGAGGTGAATGATTTTCTGAGCTGCACCAGGGGAAATCTACTTCACAGCTGAGCATCAGCATCTCCATAACCACACCCAAGGGCTCTGGCATAACACAGTGTGAGTCATCTGGAGAAATGCCAGGGAGTCCCAGCAAGATACAGTCTGTTGTGAGAAAGGCTTTTCCAATTTGCAAGGAATGTTTTCATCTGTCACCAGCGCCCTGGTATGTACGTAATTCCATGTACCTTCTCTTAAGTCATTTAACTTCTCGATGACTGTTTCCTGTAGATAGCCTTGCTACAAAAAACTCGATACTATTCAAACACCTTCAATTACTACAATCCATTGAACACATTTTTATAAACTACTGATTTTCATAAGGAAGTTCAACAGCTCTTCATGCATAAAATGGTCTCTAAAAAGAGATTTTTAGTATGTGTGTCAAGAACAAACCCAGCGCATCTTAAAGAATTTTGTTTGCACCACAGGCAAAATATGACAGCAGGCTTTGTTCTCACCTTACAGGGAACTGCTACTGCTATTGCTACTGAACTGTAAAACAGGAAGTTCACATAGCAATTTGAACAGAAACTCTGATACCTTTCTTGGTATTGCTCTTGGTTGGGCTTTAAGAATTGGATGGATGACAGCTCTATAAGCAGGTGCCCTGGGAGTGTGAGTTGGAGTCTGTGCTTGTTTACTTCAGGATCAGAACATATGCTGTACATACTTACACGCTGTACAACAACCTACTGTTGTAAATAAGTGTCCTGAAGTCTTTACCTTCTGAATTTCCTTGCAGCTCTTTTGTGGGCTGACAAGTATTGGTTCTAATGTCTAATACATTTTTTACGGTACAACAAAAGGATCTGTCTACCTCAGACCCTTCTTTATTATCTTACTAATACATAATTCTACTCCCCTTGCTCCTGGCAATTAATGTTCAAGAGGGTTCTTGTTTTCAGGTTGTCACCACCTGCAAGTTTCCCAGACTGACTGTGGAAATCCAACTTTTCATAAGCGAAGGGAATAACAGTATCTGGAGGATTAGTGAATAACTTCTATTATAGGAAACCAGTGGTCTATGTTTATCACAAATATCCAAGGTATAATGATTCTCCCAAATGTTCTATTCATTTAGATATGTTACAAACACAGTGCGTGACCATGTAAGCAAAGACTTGATTAGAAGGCGTACTCACAAGTCAGCCAAATTAACACAGCCTGGAAAATCTCAATTGTGTCACGTCCTCACGGTTTAGCTTTGCAATGTTGGTGTCCTTTTCCAGGAGAGTTTTTGGTTGGCTTTTTTTTTTTAATAGAATTAGAATAACATTTGTTCAAAACACAAAGTATAAAACCAATAAAATATATTTTTCTTTCTGTTGTAACATAAAATCTGTATCCTCTGAAGTTTTTGCACAATTATGTTTGCCTGAGTCACCTGCTGTTGCTCATAAGCCTGATTTGAAATGTATTGCAACTATCTGGTCACAGATATTATATTTGCTCAGTGTACCACACTCACTTTTCCCTGGCCCTTGCTTTTTTTGACTAGCTAAATTACATCCTGATTCCCCAGAAACTCAGACTAATTCACAGTGAATGTTACGTGCTTTTGAAAGCAAATCTAATCAGCAGCAAGCTTTTGAGTTTGTCACTCAACACAATAAATTTTTGTTTGAAAGTATATGGATGGTGTTTATATAATTGTTCATGATTATATGGCTTCATCTGATAAGGATCGAGAGATCCAAGGTTCAATAACAGTCAAAATGTCAGCTAACCTACCTGCTGTGCTCATTAAATCCTGGAGCATCCATATTGTGGGTGCTATCACACACCCGTGAGATGGCAACTCTCAGACACTATTGATCTTTCCCTTTTTAATTAAAATCAAATCTATATGCTCCTAACACAGACAAGAATACAACATGAATAAATTCACGCAACCCTTGCTGTAGGCACAGCTCTATCAGCACTGAAGAACTTGTTTCTCTTTTCCCATTACTGCGAGAGAGGAGTAATTTCACTCTGGTTGTTGGCACAGTACTGCAGACCAGATGATAATCAGATCTCGCTATTCCTCCTTATCACAACAGCTCTCATCCTGCTCTCCAGTTTATTGTTTCTGCAAGCTTTTCTGTCTTAAAAATACATGTTCCCGAGGCATGATTTTTCTCTAAGCCAGGCTCTAGGCACTACCATACGAATATCATGTGGAAAACAGCACAGGCTCCTGGTGGCATACTGTGTTTGCAAGTCAAGGTATGGTTGTATACAGCTTCCAGAGGGAGCACTGCAGTGTGTAATGGTAATGGGGAAAAAAATTATAGTCTAGAGACAGTATCCTAAGCGAGGATCCAGGAGACCTTTCAGTCTCCCAGGTCAACATTTGCATCATGGCTATGTCCAGACCCCATCTTGGGGTTAGGTTCAGGCATGTGCCAGATCTATGTCTGCAATTTGGTTGCCTGGAAAGGGAACAAGAGTAGCAGGAAGACCACAGCAGATGTTGATTCAGTGCCAGCCTGGTGGGTGAGGAGATAACGGGACTGGTATAAACCTCCAGGTTAGGGTGAGTAAACTTCCACAGTTTTCTTGTTTGCCCATCACTGCTAAAATTTTGCCCTTCACAAACAAAAGGGTGAAGACACGACAATTACCCATCCTCCTGACCACCACTTGTTACCTAGCCTCTCCTCCTTCCCAGGCAGATCCCATTGTCTCATCCTCACATCCTCATTCCCCCTTTTTGTTATCCATTTACTCCACACTCCCTGCACTTCCCACATTCCTACACCTGTGTCCCTTGTGCCTTTCTCCTACTCCAACACTTCTCATTCAGCAACACAATTAATTCTCCTTCTGAAAGAGTTTCCACGCCTTGCAAACGTTCTGCTGTACACACTAACACTCCTTTGCAGTTATCACAACAACATCAGTAAGAACAAGGATTTAGTTTATTTAGTGCATTAGGACTAGTATTTATTTTAGATACTCTATCTAAAATTAAAAGCTAGATGACTTCTAGCTTAACAACAGGAGAGCTTGTGACTTTTTTACCCACGCCTAGACCTTGTTTTTCAAAGGCCTGCTCATGTTGCAACCTTTCTGCAATATGAATTTGTTTGAAGCAGCTTAAAAGATTTCGAAACTCCTGAAAATGAGGTGCAGGCCAGGTGCTTGCTAATATTAGTGCCAACAGCCGAGACCATTTGTGCACATCACACCTCTGATTTGTTTTCTATCATGAAACTCTATTGTAGTCTGTTACACAGATGATGCTGCCATTCCTTTGGCTGTTTTGGAAGCCCCTTGATTGCTATTCCCATTTTGCATCCACAGGAAAGACAAATGATTTTTTAAAAAATCCAAGTAATAATAAAATATAAAAATATTCTTAAACCTTTCTTTCTGAGCATGAGGCAATAAGACTTCAGGTAAAAGTGATCACCCTGCCCTGCAGTGAAAGGCTGACTTATTAAAACTCTTTTCTAGCATATCATTGGTCTGACCTGGCAACCTCGCTTCCAGACAGAATACACAGTGCTGCAGCACCAGACTCAAGGAAGTCCCTACTGAACTTAGGTTTTGCGTAAAGCTTTCAGTCAAAATATGCTAGCTTTGATTTTTTATCTCTCTGTGTCACTAAACATATCAAAACTCTTCAAATCTTCCTCATCAGTGACTGGAAGCATGCTTTGGTCCAGTTTTGTTACCTATACTGAATTTATGAGCCTTAAGTCTCATACTTCTGTACACAGTTGTCGTGGTTCAAGCCCAGCCGGCAA